CACCTAACTGTAATTATAACTTTGAGTTCTTATCACTTAGAGTAGTTTGCCAAAATATCTGACTTTTGGCATCTTTAGAATCTCTTGTTTTCTCCATAAGAGCTACTCTATCTCTCTGCTAAATGGTAAGTTTTGAACAGCTGTTTGTCCTAGCAGGCTTTGAGTTTTCTAGTTTTGTTGAGAACAGTCTTTCCGTGGTGGACAGGAACTAAACGGCTCATGCCGCTTGTGTCCAGCCTGAAGACTGACAGTGCCCCAGCACACAGCTCTACTAATGAAACAGTTTTGTTTGCATATTAGAAGATAAAGCATATTATAGTTACACTACACGGTCCTACAGGACACGGAGTTGTAGTAGAAAGATCTATTCGTACTTTAAAAGAGATGCTGAGCCGGGTGGTGGTGGCACACGCCTTTAATCCCAGCACTTGGGAGGCAGAGGCAGGTGGATTTCTGAGTTCGAGGACAGCCTGGTCTACAGAGTGAGTTCCAGGACAGCCAGGGCTACACAGAGAAACCCTGTCTCGAAAAACCAAGGAAAAAAAAAACAAAAACAAAAACTGAATAAACAGAAAGGGGTAACAACGACCCCCAAAAATAGATAACATGAAGCTTGATGAACATTTTTAAATGATGATGAACAAAAAACAGCAGCAGCTGAGAGACATTGGGTTACAGGGGGAAAAAACCTGCTGAAATAGACCAGCCTATTTACTTTAGGGATGTCTTAACTTCAGAATGTAAGGCAGGAAATGTGTTGCATTGGGAAGAGGTTTTGTCTGTGTTTCAGAAGGAGAAGAAAAGCTATGGATTCCTTCAAAATTAATAAAGTTAGATTTGATTAGGGGAAACCTCCTGAAAATCTTGGCTATACACATGAAGAAAGAAACCAAAAGGAACATACAATAGGTAGAATATACACTGACGCCTCTCCATGGGAACAGCTCTGAGACTGGCTGAGACATGAATGTCTTAAAGCAGCCTGTCATCTAAGCATAAATCTTATTTCCCCAGGACTAATCATGCCACCCTTTCAAGTGGCATGGATGGAGATTTATAGTGCAGCTTGGTTTTACAGTTCAGACTTGTAAAGCTTGATATCTTTTGATACCTTTCACCTGCTCAAACACAGAACCGAGAGTCACCTGTAATTGACGTGTGGACACTGCACATTCCATACACGTGTTAATGCAGAAATGTCTATTACCTCTTTTAGGTCATTTTTGGTCTTTCTGTGGGTGATGGATGTTTGTTGCTGTGTAAGGTGGGTTGGTTACATGTTGCTAATGATCTTGGTCGTGGAGAAAACAAAGTAGAGAGGGGCCTCTTTCTCGTTTCTTTCCTCTGTCCTCCTGTCTCTCTTATCTAATGTCAGGGAGAAAAGAAGGAAGGGAGAGGAGATGAAAAGAACCGAGGGGAATATAAGAAAAATAGGATTAAAAAAGGTAGATTATTGAATCTAATTTTAGACTAAAAAATATTAATAAGCCAAATATTTTACATTTGGCATGGGTTTTGTATATTCATACAAAATTAGGGTTATATTTTGCTACAATATACTGTATACTATATTTCAATTCTTGATTTAGGTATTGTACCTACACAACTCATTTTAAAACATAATGTAAAGTTCTAGTCCTTAAAAGCTACTATTACAAACTGTTTAGGATAAACAAAAAATGTAAACTGGGGGCTGGAGACATAGCTCATCAGCTAAGAACACTGGCTGCTCCTGCAAAGATCCTGAGTTCAATTCCCAGCAACTACATGGTGGCTCACAACCATCTGTAATGACGTCCAATGCAGTCTTCTGGTGTGTCTGAAGACAGCTACAGTGTACTCATATACATAAAATAAAGAATTCTTTTTTAAAAATGTAAGTTGGCAGTCAGTCAAACTTATGATCATGTTAGGTACTGGTTTAGTTCATTACAGAAATAAGCTTTATTTAGCCTCTTATAGATGTTTCCAAAATTACTTTCATACTTTTTTTTTAAAGATTTAAAGCATTCTGCCTGCATGTATGTCTGCAGGCCAGAAGAGGGCACCAACCTCATTACAGATGGTTGTGAGCCACCATGTGGTTGCTGGGAATTGAACTCAGGACCTCTAGAAGAGCAGACAGTGCTCTTAACCACTGAGTCATTCCTCCAGCCTGTTTCCAAAATTAAACAGAGAGTAAATAGCTAGAAACGAGCAATGTTTTGCCTACTCAGATATACTTTAGATAGGTAGATGCTCTTTAAAAACCTCAGCGACCTACAGAATATGGCATTTAAAGATGTTTTATGCTGAGCAGTGGTGGCGCATGCCTTTAATCCCAGCACTTGGGAGGCAGAGGCAGGTGGATGGATTTCTGAGTTCAAGGCCAGCCTGGTCTACAGAGTGAGTTCCAGGACAGCAAGGGCTATACAGAGAAACCCTGTTCTTGTTTGTAAAACAACAACAACAACAAAAAAGATGTTTTATTAACACATGGCTTTTCATGACACTGAGACATGTTTGCCCCTGACAGCACCTCATTCTACTTTTAAGAAGATGGTGGGCATCGAAGAACCTCTATATGGAGTTTGCTTCTATGCGGCAAAGTTGCCACCAGACAAAGGACTGTCCTTGCCTCAACGGCTGATTGCATGCTGTCCAAACTGTGGACAAGCAAGACGCTGGGAAGTCAACTGCCAAACTTTGCCGAGACGAGGTAGGCCAGTCCTTCATAATTTCTGCTTCACAGAAAAGTCTGTCACATACTGGGCCAGGGTGAAGATAATGCTCCAATGACACAGTGACATCTTGAGTGACTGTCCAGGTATCCAGCAACCTCTGTCACTTCTATAGTTTTGTAAGCTGCTTGCTCTACACTTCCTGTTTACTCAGGTAATATTTATCCATCTTAGGTTTCTGATGAGCTTGAAGACTAGATAGTTATAGTCTCACAATTAAGCTTAAGTTGTTTAAGATTTAGGAAAATAATTTAAGGTCTAAGAAGATATTTTTAGGTTGATAAATGCAAGTTTTGATAGAAAGTGAATTAGGTACAGAACTTTGGACTCATCAGGATAGGATAGATAGTATAGTACTTTCTTCAAGTTCACCAAATGCATATGGACTGTGAGTGTAATTTTTACCTGATAGTTTTCACAATTGCTCTTACTGTATATAGCTTATTGATGTTAGAGAAAGAGCCTTTTATTGGACTAAAATGGGGAGATGCTAGAGTGATGATTTTTGTACACTGTGTAAAGATGTGTCTCTTGTCCTTCCTTGCCTGCCTAAGGCACCTTCTGATTGGTTAAAATAAAAAGGTGAATAGCAAAAGGAAGAATAGGAAGGTGGGACTTCCGGAAAAGGAAAGCACTCTGGGAAAGAGAAAGATTTCTCTGGGAAAGAGATTTTCCACCCAAGTCAGAGGAAGCCAGACAGATAAAACTGAAGAGATGTAACTAAACAGCTATGTGACAAACAGAACAGTATACACATGTTAATTTAAGAGCTAGTTGGGAAGCAAACCTAAGCATTGTAAATATAACCCTCTGTGTCATTATTTGGGAGCTAGGGTGGGCATAGAAGTCTTCATGGTTACAACCGTCGGATGGAAATCTGTGCTGCAGCAGTGAAGATGACAAGACTCCTTAATGATTCTCACAGGAAAATCAAGATTGCTAGACCCTAAGACTCCAGCTTAGGATCTCATTCCAGAGTCCTGGCTAGCCTCAAAACTGTGAATCCTCCTGCCTCAACCTCCTGAGTGCTGTAATTACACCACCTCCCACAGAGCTGGAGAGGGCTCTTACTATATCCAGGCTGGTCCTGTCCCTGTTCAGACCTTCTGACCTTCTCATCTCTGCGGCCCTGTTGACATCCTAAGCCTCCTCCGCTACACTAAGACCTCATAGGTCTGCTGACCTAGCTCTCCTACCTGCATAAGCTGTTCCTTCTACATTTTTATCTTTGCTGGGAGAACCTCACTTTCTTTCAGAGCACAGAGTTCCGACAAAGTGCCATCTGCTCATCTCAGGAACTGACTGTCACCTCATCTGTGTCCCAGAACACAGGTGATCTCAGGAAAAGATGACAGAGGAACAAACAGGCAAAGCACCCAGAGAGCTGAACTCAGTCAGGTGAAAGCAGAGCGGACGCAGGCACACAGCAGGGTGGAGAGAGGAGCAGCCAGTCCCACCTGCAGAGAGTAGTGCAGACCCGAGCAGGCTGGGTGTAGTGTGAGGTTCTGAAAGGGCTGGATCCTTGGAGGGCCCCAGCCTGCCTTGCTGTCCCACTCCACCATCAGCATGTGGTCCGTGAATGTCTTTCCAAACAGCAGTGGCTGGCTAGGGGCTGGCTTCTTCTGTGGCTCTTTGGTCATCTGAATCTGGAGGTCTGCAGCCTGAGAGAAAACAAAACAAAACAAAAACAAGAAAAAACCAGCACCTCAGGAGCTGGAGTCATCAACCTGAGAGATTACAACTTCCGTGGAGCCTCAGCTTCAGACCCACAGAAAAGGAGCAGGCACCCAAGAAACACAGTGTTAGCTTTTCACAGCACCCAACAGTTAGATGACCTCTGAGAGATGCATACATGCAAGTGAGTCCTGTTCTCCCTCAGACACAGGGGCACAGACCCCAGCCTTCCTCCCCTAGACCCAGGGTCCTCCTTTTACCTTGAAATTGAAGGACACACATCTTCTGGACCCACACAGAAGCCAGGGAACAGGCAGAAGCTTTCGGGTCCAGACCTAGGGTGGAGAGAGAAATCAACATGACCAAGGTAAGAGCCAAAAAGAACAGAGGTCCTGGCACCTGTCTGCCACCTCTTGCTTGGGAGGTCCCTACAGTCAGCTCTGTCACAATCTCAGTGCATTCTAGACAGCCTGTGCTCTGCCCAAGTCCCGACCAGGGTGCCTATCCCTAGAAAAACTAAAGTCAGCTCCAGCCCCTCCACCATCCACCATGCAGGGCAAAGTCGACAGAGGCGTGCCTCCTACTAGAGAACTTTGGCCACAGCTTGTAGACAGCTTAGACGGGACAACGACCAGAGACAGTGAGCAGGTAAGTGAACACTCCTGGATCGGGGGTGGGGGGCAAAACCTGATGAGAGTTAGAAAAGAATAGGTCCTGTTTATCCCAGAATTCAGCAGCCCAGACCTCAGACCCCGGGAACCAGGCTCCTTGACCTCCTCCCTCAGACTCAGGAGTAATGACCCGTGTACTTCTCTATCAAACCCAGAGCTGCAGACTCCAGCCCTCCTCCTTCCGACCCAGTGGTCCTTAACCTTCCTCCCTTAGACCCAACACTACAAGACTCCAGCGCCCTTCCTTCAGACAGAGGCGTTCTAATGCTTACTCCTTAGGAATATCGGTTAGCTGGCTGCAACTGCTACAGCCAGCCCAGCCACACAGCTGGAATACCCTCACACCGGGCAGCGACTGCTGTGCCCTTTACTGTCAGCAGCTGAAGGGCAACCATGTGCTAGCCATTGAAAATGCTCACGGTACACATCCCTGCTGACATTCCCCGAGGTCAGCATGGAATTCAGGGCTGGTTGTGTACACAAGGGTGGCCACTTCCTGATATTTGGGTGTCATGCTTTTCTCTGCAGACCATGGAGAGGCAGTTGAGTCCTAAGTTTGAGGAAGACAGGATAACAGCCTGTTCCCGCTGGGAGAGCTGATCGTGGCCAGTGAAATGGGAGAGTCTTGCAGAGGTCACTGATCAATGGGTGAGTCTCGAATGTCATATGGATAAGTCTGCACCAGGACACAGGTTTTCTTCCTTCCTTCCTTCTTTAGAGGGGAGAGGGCTTAAGGCAGGGTCTTACTAAGTTGCCCACTGACCGCAAACACACTCTATAGTCCAGTGTGTGAAGTAAGAATCTTCCTGTCTTAGATTCTGCACCAGACAGGATGACAGCCATGTGTGCCACCATACCTGGTTCAGATAAGATCTTTCTGTGTGTGTGTGTGTGTGTGTGTGTGTGTGTGTGTGCGCACGCGCATACCATGTGAAAGTGTATATGTGGATTTGTGCACGTGTCTGTGAAGGTCAAACTCAGACATCATTCTTCGGGTGACTTTCACTCTGTTTTCTGTTTGTTCATTTTGAGACAGGGTCTTACTATGTAGCCCTGGCTGTACTGGAACTCACTGTGTAGACAAAGCTGGTGGCCTTGATCTCAGAGATCCTCCTGTCTCTGCCTCCCTAGTTCTGAGATTAAAGGCATGTGACCATGGCCCTAGCCCATCCTGTCTTGAGGCAAGGAGTCTGACTGAGTCCTGGAGCCTGCCAGTTTGGTTCAGCTTTCTACAATCTCCAGCTCACCAACAATGGTATTTAAGGGTGAGTCACAATGAGTGGTGGTGGCGCACACCTTTAGTCCCAGCTCTCAGGAGGCAGAGGCAGAGGAATCTCTGAATCTGAGCCCAGCCTAGTCTACAGGGTGAGTTCCAGGACAGCCAGGAGTACACAGAGAAACCTAGTCTTAAAAAACAAAACAACAAACAGACATGACAGAGTGAGTCACCGTGTGGGTTTCAGGGATCAGACTCAGGCCTCCAGGCTTGTCTGGCAAGCACCTCACCAACTATGTCCACATCTTCCAGCTCTCAGATGTGGTCTGAATGGTGTGGCACCCAAGGGCTGCTGGGGCGATCTCAGATCCTCATTGTCTCTGTGTGGTGACAGCTTGCCTAACACTGCCACCCTGCGTCAGACACTCACAGTGTGGGGATAAAACAACCGCCCTGGGTAGGGCAGCCAGCATGGAGGCAGGAGAGCAGAGGGAACCAAAAATACTCTTTTTTTCTTTTTAGTAGAGTAAACCAGAAAAGCTGAACAATACAGAAAAGAGATACTAAGGTGATGGAGAACAAAAGACGGAGCTGGGGTTGTAGTCGGCTGCAGAGTGCTTGCCTGGCCCGCAGGACTCCCTGGGTTTATTTCTTGCCCAGCAGCACACAAACCCTGTAATCCCAGCACTTGGGAGACAAGGGAAGAAAGATCCGGACTCTAATGCATCCTTGACTATGTAGCAAGTTTAAGGCCAGTGTGGCCTATATAAGACCCTGTCATAGATGATGATGAATGCGGAATGAGGGATCCGAGGGTGGTGGCACACACTTTTAATCCTAGCACTCAGAAGGCAGGAGCATGCAGATCTCTGAGTTCAAGGCCACCCTGGTCTACAATGTGAGACCCTATCTCATAAAAGAAAGAAAGAAAGAAAGAAAGAAAGAAAGAAAGAAAGAAAGAAAGAAAGAAAGAAAAGAAAAAAAGAACCAGAGGCTGAGAGATGTCAAGAGAGTTATGAATATAAAGAGAGGACCTAGCCGTGCAGTGGTGGCGCACGCCTTTAATCCCAGCACTTAGGAGGCAGAGACAGGTGGATTTCTGAGTTTGAGGCCAGTCTGGTATACAGAGTGAGTTCCAGGACAGCCTGGGCTACACAGAGAAACCCTGTCTCGAAAAACCAAAAGAGAGAGAGAGAGAGAGAGAGAGAGAGGGAGAGAGAGAACCACTGAGATGACTTATTGGGTAAGAGTAGCTGTCAGCAAGCCTGAGGGTCTGAGTCTGATACTCAGGACCCACATACAATAAATAAAAATGTTATGGGGCAAGGGGCAGGGGTGGGTAATACTAGGGGACGGGGAGAGAAAAGCAGAGAATCAAAGAAACTCTCAATCGTCACAGAACTTGGGAGGTTGAAGCAGGAGGATTTCAAGTTCAAGCCCAGCCTGAGCTAAAGAGATCCAGGGGAAGGGAAGGAGAAAAACATCACACAGCCTTGAGGCACAGAGAAGGCATCCTGCCAAGGTCCAGAGTCTGAACTGGCACAAAACTTTGGTGACCTCGGAAGTGCTACCTTTGTCTTCCTGGAGCAATTCTCTAAGGCCAACAATCTTCTCTTGGCTCAAAGAACACCCCTCCCCCATCCCATAGGATAGGAATTAAGCCTAAAGAAAGAGGCTAGATAGTAGAAGGGCTTCAGGAAGGACGTATGAAAGGATGGAAGCAGAATTCAGAGATTAAAGGGGAGTGTGCTGTCTGAGGGGTTTGGCTGGGTTCCTTTCACATCCCAGCACCCCTGAACTGAAACACAGTACCCATCAAAGATCAGGGTGGTCCTGTCAAAGCTGCACTCTCACATCAAAGGTAAGCACAGTAATTATCATAGTGAGGTCTTGTCATGTCTCTGATAACTGTCCCTATACCATGCTATCTCATTAAATTCCAGGGCTGCTCCTCAAGTAGCCCCAGGCTGTCCTCTTCATAGGACAGACTCTCCATCAGATTTGTAGAAGTCCAAAGCTCTGAAACAGTCACCTCAGGATCGCCTCTTACAGAGCAATGTGGTGTCCTAACACAGCCCAGGGTTGTTTCCTGCCCCATCCCAAAAACAGATTCCCCTCTCCAGCCTAGGATTGTCCTTGGCAAGTCAAAGAGCTGTTTCTTTCAAACTCAAGAAGTTTCCCAATGTCTAGGCTAGACCTTGCAAGATAGTCCTTGCCAAACCCCAGCCAGCAGGTTTCTTTATACCCCAGAATTTCACTGTGTGAGCACTCACCACTAGGTACTCATAGCTCTGAGCAGGCTCGTGTTCAGAGTGTCTCCATTACAGGGTAAAACTGTCTTCCTCAGAACCCAGATCTGTCCCATTAGAATAGGAGATTGGTCCAGTATGGCATAGCTGAACCCATCTAAGACCACCACACTGTCAGAGCCTAGATCCTTGTCCCTGTCATATTCCAAGACCGTCTGCATAGGACATTTCTGTCTGTCACTAAGAACTGTGAGACTTAAGAGGTTTGTTCAGGAATTCACCAGCCTGGAGTAAGAACGTGTGATAATCAGGTGCAAGCTAACAGCGAACGCTTTTTCCCAAGGTTATGACCAGCTGTATGCACACTTATTTATCGTGTTCTCTTAAGATCACAGACTCTCAAGCTCGGCAGTGGTGGCCCAGGACTTTAATTCCAGGACTCAGAAGGCAGAGGCAGGCAGAGTTGAGGCTAACCTGGTCTACAGAGCAACAGGAGAGCTGAGGGTATGCAGAGAAACCCTGCCTCGAAGAGACAAACAAACAAACAAAAAGAACATATATTGTCCAGAACTCTGCTGCTTGACACCATCGGTAAGCACTGACTGAAGTACTTGTCTGGAGGATCTTTATCATTTGGGCAGACAGAAGCTTGGCTGGGATTACAAACCCAGATACAGAGAGCCTCAGACACCCCACACGTCGATATGTGCTTTTTGTTCCAAGAAATAGGATCTTGGGTCCGATTCCCACCCAAGTCCCTGTGCCAAGTCATACACTAAGTCCCAGAGGTCCTGGGCCCCTTGTCTAAAGGAACCCAAGAGCGACTGGTCCTTCAAACATGCATGCTGCAAGCCCCAGGCACAACTTCCCCGCATCCACTCCACCCTGTACTTCTCCCATTACAGCACTCGTCCAGGGCTCCCCACTTCCGACCTCCCGGTTCAGACACCTCTCGCACCCCACTCGTGTCTACCCATTGTACCGCCCGTTAAAGCCCCGAACTCCTTTCCAAGGGGCCCATCCGCCTCTGTTTGGGCAGCGGAACTCGAGGCACAGAGGAATGACGCCAAGCCGGAAAGGCCGCACGGCAGTGATCCACCCGGAAGTGAGCCCCCCATCAGGTTCCCCAGGGCCCCGGCGCCGGTCGGCCACGTACCCACCTGCCCAAGTATGGCTGCAGCCATGATCCCGTGCGGCCAGTGACTGTGCCCGCCTGGGGCGCGGCCTGGTGAAAGGCATTCCGGCCCCGCCCTGCTCACGCCCCCTCCCGCAGATGGCTGCTGTCTGCAAGCCTCACTTCTGCCAGGCCGTTCTTAGTGATAGGACCTCAGGGACCCAGGCTCTGCTGTGAAGAACATGCGCTGGAACAGTCCAGAACTATCGTACACTCTCTCTTCTTGTCTCCACCCTGCCATCCTCTACCGCACCCGCACTCACGCCCAGTTAGGCATTTACCTTGGCTTTTGTTTTGCATTTGAGTGCTTGGGGACCGAACCTAGGACCTCATGCATGTTTGGGAAGCGTTCTAACCACTGAGAACAGACGCAGACCTTTAATATTACTGGGTATGGTGGCACACGTCTTAATCGCAGCGTTTGGGAGGCAGAAGTGGAGGATTTCTGTGAGTTCAAAGCCATTCTGATCTACCTAATTAGTTCCAGGGCAGCCTGGGCTATCTGGTAAGACCCTGTCTCAAAACAAAAGGAGGTTGGAAAGAGGGCTCAACAGCTAAAAATACTGGGCTGCTCTTCTAGAGGACTAGGCTCGGCTCCTAGCACCCACATAGCTGCCTGTAACTCCAGTTCCAAGGGATCCTGCGCCCTCTTCTGAATTCCACAGGCACTAGGCACGCACATGATACACTTACATACATGCAAGCAGTACACAGACACAAAAACTTTTTACACTTTTCTTTCTCTTATTTATTTATTTAGAGACAGAGTTTATCTGCGTAGCCCTGGTTGTCCTGGAACCAGCTCTGTAAACCAGGCTGTCCTCAAACAAAGACTCTCCTGCCTCTGCCTCCCAAGCTGGAATTATAGGTGTGCCACTATTGCTTGCTATAAAAAGGTTTTCTAAAAATAAAGCAACAACAACACATCTTCACAGGAACTGTCAGCGGTGGCAAAGTGGCCAAAGCAAGGGTCAGACAGCGTTGATAAAAAGGAATTGCTCACTGTAAATGCCAGTGGGTTAGAGAAAGTGTACTTCAAGCCGGGCCTGAGGTACCTGCTTGTGATCCTAGCACCCTGAAAGCTGAGGCAGGAGGTTTGCTGCAAATATAAAAGCATGCTCTAAGTAAGAAACCTAGACTCTTGTCTCAAATAAATGAGACAAAAAGAATAGGACTTTGCAGAAAGAGGGTGATGGGTAGGCGATAAGACGCCTCATTCAGCACAAGGAGACAACAAGGTCACTGTAATTCTGAGACAAGCGCTCCTGTGTGTGTGGGGGGGGGGGGGTCAAGGGCCCATGGATCCCTGTGCCTCCTTCAAGTTTCCTAAGACAGTGAAGCTCAAAACAATTTCATACATCAGTTTATTACAGGACTTCACATCAGCCTGCGGCTTAGGGGCGTGAACCACACCGTTCATCCATAGCGCTCCATCTTTAAGGCTTCAGAGGTTCAGAGGTGGTTAGACAATTGGTGCCAGAAATCATTTAAAAACACACACATGCTGGGCGGTAGTGGCGCACGCCTTTAATCCCAGCACCTGGGAGGCAGAGGCAGGCGGATTTCTGAGTTCGAGGCCAGCCTGGTCTACAGAGTGAGTTCCAGGACAGCCAGGGCTACACAGAGAAACCCTGTCTCGAAAAACAAAACAAACCAAAAACAAAGACAAAAACAAACAGAGAGAGAGAGAGAGAGAGAGAGAGAGAGAGAGAGAGAGAGAGAGA